TAGGATTTAGGGCATAGGGTTGAGGGTTGAGGGTTTAGGGTTCATGGTCCGGGGTTCAAGATTCAGGGTTCAAGGTTCAGGTTGAAGTGTTTGGGCGGGGGGGCGGGGGGGGTTAGGGCTTGTAGAATTTAGGGTTCGCGAGCGTGTTTACGGTTTGTGATTTCTACGACGATCAGGATGTGCACGTTCAGGGTTTGGATCTTATGTGTTCTGGGTTTATAGGTTTGGAGATTTACGGTTCAGGGTTGCGGGCTTAGGGCTTATAAGGTTGAGGGCCCTTTGGCTTAAGCCCTTTGGACTCAATTCTCCCGAGCCCGAAACTCTAAACCTCAAACCCTGAAGCCTAAACCTAAATTTTATCCTTCCCAAGCCCACATGGTATTGGGCATTCAACGGGCTATTCTTGGTTCTCGGGGTTTAATCAGGGTTTATGGTTTAGGGTTTAGGGTCAGGCTTGTCCAGCGTTTTAAGACATGCTTGGCGGACGTAGTGCGTGGTGGTTTGAGTTGCAGCGCCGGGTTCTGAATTCTTCACTTCATGGTACCGGATATTTCTAGCATACCTAGTGTGTATTATATATATATATATATATGTATACACAGAGACAGAGAGAAAGAGAGCATACATCGTGTGCGTAGCATACCGCGTATCGTACATTCATTTATGTAAGTATCTAAAACAGAGCATGTACTACACGCGAATACATATACATAGTCTATACCATGGCATGAATCCTTAATGGCTTATCTGCTCTCTATCTATAGCATGTAGCATTCAACATTCTATAGCTCATATCTAACGTATCAATATAGTCTGCTGTAGAATTTGTGGTTTATATGAAACCCTAAACCCTAAATCCTAAGCCCTGCAACTTGTGGTTTCAGATCTCTAGAAGCTGATGAGGTCCCTGTCACGGTCGCCTCGCTGCAGGCGGGTCACGACGAGGGTTGGTCTAAACACCTGAGTTGTAAAGCGACCAGACGAAGTACAGATCTGAGGGTTTAGGGTTCAGGGTTTAGGGTTTAGGGTTTAGGGTTCACTTCTGACAGCAAGGGCACCTTGTATAAATGCTGGTTGAAGTACCTCATTGTGAGATCCTTATGGGATCCTAACCTGTAAAGTCGATGTTACGAGAGAGAACCAGGCTCCATGATCCAGATCCGCCCCCATGTGAACTGTGCACAATGTTAGAAGGCTTCAAAGATAGGCTGAAGGTCTCTGCAGCACGTCGTGAGTGGTCGCGCATTCCAAAGCCCAAACACGAATCAAACCAACAGGAAACAGCCAAGGCTTTGGGGGTTCGAGCTTACCCTAAGGGTCCATGTACCTTTATGGTGAATACTTGGGCCTTAAAGGGGTTACCATATGGCAGCTTCAGGGCCCAAGTATTCACAAGACAGGTACGTGGACCCTTAGGGTTACGTGACGGGAAGTCAAGAGAGGAGAGGGCACCTTTGTTCTTTTAGGGTTTAGGGTTTAGAGTTTAGGGTTTAGGGTTTAGGGTTTAGGGCCTAAAACCCTAAACCCCAAACCCTAAACCCTTCTCGTTTATAAGGTTTAGGATTAAGGGAGGAACTCGCGCTGTTTTTTTGTTACAGTATGTCTGAGTGCGGGAGTCCTGTTTGAATAGGGTCCAACAAAGTCTTGAAAATGCTGAGCTTAATTTGAATCAATGAGTAACTGTGGCGCAAACGCCCGGTTTTCTCACAACTTCTAAGCCCTTAAGAGCTTCAAAGCCTTCATGTTTGTTGAAGGGTCAGAGCCCCAAAGTCTTTAGGACCCTTAACAATCTCGTGTGGGGGGCCCTAAGTAGTCACTACTAATTTCTAGGCCACGGAATGTTCGACCACGTGCCGGCGCCGCAGGGGCAAACCCCTAAGTCGTAAACCGTTTTACCCTAAACCCCTAAACTCGAAGTCCTGAGACCCTGAATCCAAAACCTGAACCCCTGAAAATCTTCTAATAAACCCCTAAACCCCAAACCCTAAACCCTAAAAGCCATCGTTGGCTAAATCCATTCAGCCCTAGATTGAAACCTTGAACCGCCAGCCGCAACTTCTAAGCACTGGACCTTGCAGTCAGGGTTTAGGCTTCAGGCGATTAACTACGGTTCAGGGTTCAGGGTTCAGGGTTTAGGGTTTCGGGTTCAGGGTTTAGGGTTTCGGGTTCAGGGTTCAGGGTTTCGGGTTCAGGGTTTCAGGGTTTAGGGTTAGGGTTCGAGTTCACTCTTCCAAAGCCAGGGCTTGGCGTACATGGAGCTCTGGAACGAGCACGTGGACGCCAAGAATGCGAAAGCGCCGGGCGCCTCAGCGATGATCCTGGGGGGGCCCGCCCCCCGTCGCCTTGAGCCGCGGACGGCCTGTTAGGGTTTAGGGTTTAGGGTTTAGGGTTTAGGGTTTAGGGTTTAGGGTTTAGGGTGTAGGGTTGAAATAGGGTTTTGGTGTCCTAGGAGCCCCCCTTGATCTCCTCCCCTTTATGTTTGTTGGGGGCGTTTACTTGCCTTTATGCAGCCCAGTGCACAGCAAAGGGGGCCCCTGCACATTCTGAGGCTACCCGAAACCCGAAACCCTAAACCCTGAAGCCTAGACCCGAAATCTTAGACATAAACCCTAAACCCGAAAGCATTAACCCTTAGTACTTACGGCGGAACTTCGGGAACTCATTCTAAGGGGGTTAGTAGCTGAATGAGTACTCATGACTAAGGATACTCTACTCCCCTAGAGAACTGAACGTGTGCACTGTTTTAGGGGCGTCTGAACTCAGCAAGTCAGTTAGGGGTCCAGGGCCCCCTAGTTATAAGTAGAGTTACAAGGGCCCTAAACTGGGTTATAAGGACCCTAAGTTAGGTTATAAGTCCCTTAACTACAGTTAGTATAGTAAGGGGGCCCCACCCTGTAGGGGTCGAGGGCCCATGCCTCAGAGCGTTACATGGAGGACCCTCTCGGAGTTCGGGTTTGAAGTCTGGGTTTTGGCTGTATTCCGGGCTTCTTCCCCCAGACTCTTAGGGCAGCTCTATGGTCCCTTAATGTGGTCCCTAACCCTCTTTCAGAGGGTTCACCCTAAACCCTAAACCCTAAACCCTAAACCCTAAACCCTAAACCCTAAACCCTAAACCCTAAACCGGGGCCCTTGGGTTGTAAAGGATATATAGTGGGGATATATACGGGGCCCCCTTCTAAGGGCCCAGATGAAGGGACCATGTAAGCACCCGAAGATATGTCACTGGGCAACCCCTTTCAATACTGCATATCGCTCATACATACCTGCGTAGCCCCAATGTAGCCCCTTAGGATTTCTTATGAGGGTCCCTCCTTTCGCCCCTTGAATGTAGGGTTTAGGGTAAGAGGTTTAGGGTATGTTACTCATACTCGTAAGTATGGTTCGGAAGCTTGTGACTGAAGCTTGAAGAATTTCCCGGGAGAGCTGGATAGATCTTGAACTCTCCGATTGCAAGGGGCTTGCTCTGCATGAGGGTTTAATTCGGGGTTTAGAGGGTTTAGAGGATTTATTACTGTAGAGGGCTTTAGAGGGTTTACAGGGTGAGGGCTTAGCTTATGCGTAGTAGAATCCCAAAGGTCCTCACCGTCAAGCTATGGCCTGGTGAAAGAACATCTGTTCTCGGGTCAAGTACTCCTGTTGAAGTTTCTTCAGGTAGCAGTATGCCGAAGATTTGAGGCGCACGTGCCTTTGCGACTGTATGTAGGTGAACTACCAAAACGTTTAACCTTCTGTCAAGGAACTGCTAGTAAAACAACCCAGAACCCACAAGCCTCAAGAATCAACCCTGAACCAATTCTTTAGGGCTTTATTTAGTGGGAGATATGTCTCTCACTCTCTCTTTCTCTCTCTCTCTCTCTCTCTCAGGGGCTTGGTTGCTTGGCTTGTGGCCTCGTTTTGATTTCCTTGCAGAAGATGTTTCAGGGACAACAGGAGGGAGCCTCCATAAGGCCCGGGGGTTGTCTGTAGTCTAACCCTTAATTTGTGTAGGGCATACAAGGGGCATATAAGGGGTCCCCTTTAAAGGGGCCCCATACTAAGGGACCATGTGACTACCCTAAGATGTAGATGCATTTTGTGGCGGGTTTTAGGGTTTAGGGTTTAGTGCGGGCTTCAATGTAGGGCGTGTACGCTCCGAACTTCCAAACCCTCTAGGTTTAGGGCTGTCGGATTTGCGGTTTTGGGGGCGGGGGGTGGGCGCCCTCCTCGTAACTGTGGGTCGGCACGTTCCAAACACGAAGAAGACAGGAGCCCAGGGACCGCTCATTATCGTAGCAGCGGCCGGCACTTTTGGAACGGGAACCCTTATTCCCGAAACCCGAAAACCTGAACCTCAACCCTGAACCCTAAACCCTAAACCCCAAACCCTAAACCCTAAACCCTAAACCCAAAGCCCTACACTCCAGAAGTGACACAGTTACGAGGATGGTGAGCCTGGGGGTGGGGGTGGGTATCATTTGGGGGAGACCTGGGAATCTGGGAAGCCTCGGGAACATGTATGAGGGCCATTGTAGAATGATATAGGATCCTTTCTGGGATATAGGGTTTAGGGTTTAGGGCTTAAGGTTCAAAAGTTTAGGGTGTAGGGTTTATAAGGTTTAGGGTTTAGGGTTTAGGGTTCAGGGTTCAGGGTCCCTTCCCTCCTTCAAGCGTGAGGTCTGTGACAGCCAACAAGGCTTGGCACACCGCCTCGGCGGAAGCCTTGGTGTGGACTGGGTTTAGGGTTTCCCAAACCCTAAACCCTAAACCCTAAACCCTAAACCCTAAACCCTAAACCCGAAGCCCAAACAGCCCCCTTGGAGGAACAGTTGACAAGAAGGAAGCTGCAAGCGCCCCGCCGGCTATATCCTGGCTTGGTCGAGGAGCAACCAGGTTTGACCAGTCCTGGGTTTTCTCGCGACATGTCAAAAACCCGGCGCCTCGGACCCTCGAGAAGGGAGTTGATCTAAGTGCCCTTGCGTGGAAAACTCAGATAGCACGGACATGTACCAGGGAAGGCATTGATGGCGGATCTGCAACCCAGACAGCCTGCGCCACATCCGCAAGGGGCGGAGAAGCTCTGCTGCGCAGATGACTGGGATGCGATCTGATTTCCACGGCGCTGTTCATTATGCGAGCTTTAAGCACCCTAAACCCGAACAGGTTCAAATTTTGGGTCAAGAGGTTTTTGGATGTGGGAGTGGGGCTGAAGGGGATTTTAGGCTTGAGAACTCAGAGTCTGGGCGTTTCGGATGGGGTCGGTCGGGGTGATGGAGTTTCGGTTGGGCAGTTTGGGATTTGACCTGGTTTGGGGAATGGGGGCTTGGGTTTAGGGTTGCAAGCGGGCGTTCGGGGTTTTTTAGGGTTTGGTGTTTATAGGGTCGGGTCTAGCTAGGCCTTCAGCTTGTTTGCAAGGTCTTGGGCTTCGGGATCTCCTGGTTTCAGAACGCATGCTTTTGCTACCTGTTGGGCATCTCAATTGCATGTGTAGGGCCTGTAGGAGTGTAGTATATGTGAGATCTTGGTCGCGCATGTAGGGACTTGTGTTCGGGTGAGTATGAAGTAAGCTCCCCTCATAGTAGAACGCCGTGTAGATAGGGACTCCACAAAACCTACTTTCAGCACAATCCCCCCCCCCCCCCAAGTCCTGTTTCCGCTCTCTCTTGAAGTTCGCGTCCGGTGACACCCTACATGCCAACCCCTAAACCCTGAACCCCTAAACCCCTAAACCCCCAAGGCCCCAAACCCCCAAGGCCCCAAACCCCCAAACCCCCAAACCCCCAAACCCCCAAACCCCCAAACCCCCAAACCCCTAAACCCCCAAACCCCTAAACCCCTAAACCCCTAAACCCCCAAACCCCTAAACCCCTAAACCCCTAAACCCCTAAACCCCTAAACCCCCAAACCCCTAAACCCCTAAACCCCTAAACCCCCAAACCCCTAAACCTTATCACCCCCTAAAATCTAAACTTCATGAACCCTAAAATCTGAACGGCGACCACCAGGTCTGGGTCCGTTCTGAAGCAGAGACCGCCATCGTCGGGAGCACCGTGGCCGCTCGGCGCAGCCTCGAAAACCAACCTTCCCCCCCCCCCCCCCCCCCCCTCCCAGCCCAAACCCTAAACCCTAAACCCTAAACCCCAAACCCTAAACCCTAAACCCTAAACCCTGTAAGCCCTAAACCCTAAACCCTTTCGGACTTAGCAACTTGAAGGCGAACCCTTTTTTTCTCCGAAGAACCCCTCGCTGGCCCTAAACCCGAAGTACCCATGAACCTCCAAGTGTGAAGCCGAAGGATACCATCATCATCGCCACGTGCTCGGGCTGGGCGGGTGTGCTGGCGCCCCATGCCTCGCTTCTTGCAGGGGCGGAACTGGGCTTTATAGGGTACCCTAAACCCTAAACCGCAAACCCTAAACCCTAAACCCCAAGCCCCAAACCCTAAACCCTAAATTCTAAACCCTAAACCCTAAATCCAATTTAGGCTTCAGCAAGAATCCTCTAATCATGGGTTTCCCTACTATATACCCCCCTAGATTCCCCCTTTTGAGGCTGGCTTAATTATCCCCAAATAGGCTTCATCATGGGGGGAAACCTCGAGGGGGAGGGGGGTGAGGGGTACGGAACCCATGAGATACCCATGAGATAAGCCACCCTAAAATCTAAAACCCTAAACCCTAAACCCTAAACCCTAAACCCTAAACCCTAAACCCTAAACCCTAAACCCTAAACCCTAAACCCTAAACCTCCACCCTCAACGCCAGCTCTTCACGGGCGATGTGATGCTCGCGGTCATCGTCACCGGCGTGGTGATCGTCGTGATCACAGGATCGGGCCGAGGATGTGCAGTTTCTCTCGGAGCGGCGGTGTAGGGTTTAGGGTTTAGGGTTTGGGGTTTGGGGTTTGGGGTTTAGGGTTTAGGGTTTAGGGTTTAGGGCTACAATCGCCAAACCCGCAGAAAGCACCTGAAGCCTTAATTTTTGAGCCCTGGACCTTATATGTAAACTCTAGCAGCAACTTAGGACGTGGCATCCGAAACCGAAGAAATCGGGTTTTACACTTTACGGTTTGGGTTCTGCTGGCCTTTTATGTCAAAGTATGAAAAAACTCTGGGACCTGTGGGAGAACTATGTGTGTGCCCTGTAATCCCTGAATTTCAGTGTTTAGCAAGGCCTTCTCGTTGATGCTTCCAGGGGCGTATGTCACTGTGCCTGCTAGACATCGCGCAGAACAACACCAGGGCTTAGGGTTTAGGGTTTAGGATTTAGGGTTAGGGTTTAGGGTTTAAGGTTTAGGGTTTACGGGTACCCTACTCCTTACGTATCCCAGAGTACCCTCATCGGCACTCCACAGTAGGTAACCCTAAGCCCTCGTAAAGGAAATGCTAGGTCGTGGAGCCTCCCCCCCCCCTCCCCCCAACCCCCCCCCCCCTCCCCCCCACCCCCCCCCCCCCCCCCCCCCCAACCCCCCAACCCCCCCCCCCCCCCCCAAAAAAAAAAAAAAAAAAACTCACAGGGCAGCATCAGGGCAGCATGTGTCAAGCCGACCTTGGTAGGAACGGCGCACCGCCCCTGTGCGACTGGTGGTTTCCGTGTCCCACACCTGCAACCCTCGTCCCAAACCTGCAACCCTCAACGCCCAAAGGATCCTAAGTACCTACATAGTACTAAGTAGGGTTTTCCATAATAGGAATTACTATTATGGTTTGGGTAAGTGTCCCCCATAGAGGTACTTAGGACCCTTTGGGACACAGAAGCCTCTTATTGATCAAACAGGCCTCATGCTTAGCAAGAAGAAAGAGTCCTCTCCACGAGGGGTTAGGCTTCGGTTGGTAGGTCAGGGTGAAGAGCATCCTTCTCGGGGACCCTAAACCCTAAACCCTAAACCCTAAACCCTAAACCCAGGGTAAGGCCTTGATTCTTTTTCAGAGTTCAGGTTCCCTTCTCAGCCCCTTTAAATTCCAAAAGGGCACCCCTTTGTACTCCTAGGTTGCTCTTGGGCCTTCTCAGTCCCCTGTGTTTGCTTCCTTTTGGGGGTTTAGGCTTTTGGGTTTAGGGTTTAGGGTTTAGGGTTTAGGGTTTAGGGTTTAGGGTTTAGGGTTTAGGGTGTGAGGGGAACCCTCTCCAGGTCAATGAAACCGCTCTTGGGTCTAGCTATGAGGGTTTGGAGGACCAGCTCCTCCTGTGTTTCAGGCCTTGCCTTCTTCATGGTCACTGTGATGGGCTGGTCGATTGGTCCCATTGAGGCAAGGGTTTAGGGTTTAGTGTTTAGGGTTTGGGGTTTAGGGTTTAGGGTTTAGGTTTAGGGTCTGAGCTGAGAGTTAAGGATTTCAGTTTCCTCGGGCTCAAGGATTTGAGGTTCAGGCTTTCAATTCTGGGTCTTGGAGTACCATACTTTAATAGGTTCCTATTATAGCTACTTATACCTAACAAGTATATACATTTTTTTTCAGGGTTTACTCCAAAGCTAAGAATTTGCTGGTGCTCAGGGCTTCGGCTTGAGGGTTCCGTCTTCCTCTGGAGGAGGGAGGCAACCGTACGCTGGAGAGCTGTTTGTTTAGGAGCCAGAGGAGGCCCCCTACTCCCTTTTTTAGGGGCTTAGGTTCCCCTACAAGCCCCTTTAAACCAAAAAAAGGCACCCTTTGTGTTCAAAGGTTCCTCCAGGAAGTTTCGTCCCCTCAAGCATAAGTCTACAGTTCCGCGGGGGAGGGGTGGGGGGGTTCCAGGCAAGGGCTGTTTCCTCCTCCATAGAGTTTTTGCGACCCGAAGCCCAAAACCCTAAACTGGGCAGGATCTCACGCAGGGGCGGTTCACTGAGCTCTAAGCTTAGAGGGTCTTTGAGGGAGGGCGGCGGGTAGGTACCTGGGGAACCTTAGGGAAGCTTCGGGAGCCTCAGTGAGTAGTGGGAAGTGTGGGGGACACCTTGGGTTACCCTCAAGATCCCAATAATCAACCCTTAGTAGGGGGAGAGAGTGGTGGAGGAGTCCATATCCACAAAACAACACAAGCGGGCACTGCTCACAAACAAGTCTTCACCCTAAACCGTGTAATGGCCTACAGCTTGACTTACAATATGACAACCTCTAGCAGAATAGGGTGCCCCAACTCAACCCTAGACCCCCAAAGGCCCTATAGACTATGGACCCTAAGCCGTAGACATCCCGAAACCCAAAACCCTACCGCCCGCCTGTCACACTATGCAAATTGATTTGTGGTTTAGAGACCCTAAGTTACGGTACTTGTAACCCCAGTTAGCGCCACCTATGCGTATACTATACACAGGGGCCAAAACTACCGCTTGAAAGTACTTTTTTGTACTGGAGATCGACCCTAGATTCTTCCAAAGCACCCCGAACTGTAGAATCATGGAAGGTTTAGGGTTTAGGCATTTTCGATTCAAGGTTCGTTGTTTTTTAGGGTTTAGGGTTTAACCAGGTGATCGCCCTCGTGGTGTTCGTGGGCTACTCGGTCACCTACGCGCTACACATCGCCCACAACTACAATCTGGTGCGGGCCTTACCCTGCAAAAGAAGGGGCCTACCGGGCACCTTAATGTTTAGGGTTTAGGGAACCCTAAAACCGGAAGATGCCACTGATGAGGACACTGGCAGAGGTTCCTGTGAGGACTGCCAGCACCTTCCAAGAAACGGTTCACGATCTTGCAGCAACATGAGATGCAAGAGATGGCAAACCCGGACTCTTTCCTGCACTGTCGACGCTAGACAGGCCACTTCCAGCAAACAGGCGATGGAGCCATGGGCTCCTCATGAAATTAGGGGTATTCTCTGTTAGGGTTTAGGGTTTAGGGTTTAGGGTTTAGGGTTTAGGGTTTAGGGTTTAGGGTTTAGGGGTGGTCCATATAGGGTCGGGAGACTGGGGGGGCAGGGGAGGGGAGGGGGGGGGGGGGAGGTTAGAGGGGGGGGGGATCAGAGAGGCTTAGGGCTTGCGGGTTTCGGGTTCAGGGCTGAGCCTGCTGCCTGTCTGTATGGTTGACTAGTAATCTTGCTGAGTGTGTAAACATGTGTATATATGTATGAATGGATATAAAGTGGTTTTGGGGGACACGAGTAGTAGCAACTCTCGACATATGCACAAAGCGTACATGGTTTAGCAGGTTAGCGCAAGTAATTTTGGGATCCGCTTTCCTAGACCATATTATGTTATATACTTGTATGGCGTTCTGGGGCTTCAGGATTTTGGGGTTGGGGTCGCGGTTTTGCGGCTTAGGTTTTCTGGGATTGTGTCTTTGGGGTTTGGGCTTTTAGTCTTTTAAGGTTTAGGGGTTGCTCGGCAAGTTTCTCGAAGCACTGGTTTTTCTGTTTAATGAACCTTTTCGGGCGATCAAGCCCCCGGTTAAGCACAATGTGCTCTTTATGCTCTGTTGGGTTAAGGGATCCTACCAGGGTTTAGGGATCAATGCCCGAAACCTCTAATAACACAGATCTCAACACCACACTTAAAGCCACCAGAAGCCGTACACCATCCCCAAAACAAGCCCCCTCCCAAGCCCTAAACCCTAAACCCTAAACCCTAAACCCTAAACCCTAGACCCTAGACCCTAGACCCTAGACCCTAAACCCTAAACCCTAAACCCTAAACCCTAAACCCTAAACCCCACAGCCCTTCCCAGATGGTGGCCTCAGACGAAGATCTCCTGGAGGCCGAGGCGCTTCTGCGGTCCAGGGTGGCGGTTTACGTCTTTTTGCAGGGTAGGGTTTAGGGTTTAGGGTTTAGGGTTTAGGGTTTAGGGTTTAGGGTTTAGGGTTTAGGGTTTAGGGTTTAGGGTTTAGGGTTTAGGGTTTAGGTTTTAGGGTTTAGGGTTTAGGGTTTAGGGTTTAGGGTTTAGGGTTTAGGGTTTAGGTTAGGGTTTAGGGTTTAGGGTTTAGGGTTTAGGGTTTAGGGTTTAGGGTTTAGGGTTTAGGGCTTAGGGCTTAGGGCTTAGGGCTTAGGGCTTGGGGTTTGGGGTTTGGGGTTTAGGGTTTCGGGTTTAGGGTTTAGGGTTTAGGGTTTAGGGTTCAGCATCTCATGTTCGAGCCTTCACTAGTCTAGCAGCTTTTCCCTTAAATCTGGAGTTGAAGCCAAGTGAGGTATGGGCTTAGGGCCCATAGGGCTTAGGCTTTTGATTGTGACCCAAAGTCCTCCGCCACCCCTAAACCCTGAACTCCCTGAATCCCTCAACCCCCGAACCCTTAACCCTGAACTCCCTGAATCCCTCAACCCCCGAACCCTTAACCCTGAACCCTGAACCCCAAACCCTAAACCCTAACCCCTACACCCTAAACCCTAAACCCTAAATGCAAAACGACGAGGAGAAGGCTCGCAAGAGGCAGGCCGACCGTGAGCTGGCTAAGGCTGGGCATCTTTGCTGGGTTTTTTGGAGTACTATGCTTCAATTTAGGGTGTAGGGTTTAGGATTTAGGGTTTAGGGTTTAGGGTTTCTTAGACCCCCTCTCAATCACTAGAGCTCTGATGCCGTAAGTTGCATTCGGGCTTTAGAGCGTTTAGGGCTTTAGGGTTTTAGGTTTAAAAATCGATGTCGAGTCTTGGGGGAGGGGGGGGGGGGTGCGGTCGTTACTTGTGGGCGGGGGTGGGGTGGGGGGTGGGGGGTTGTTGCAAAGTTCCTTCGAGAAACAAGCCAAAAAACAATCAAGGAAAAGGAACAGCTCACTTGGCAAACCACCAAAGACCCTGAACAACTGAACTCCCACCAAAGTGGCATTGTTTGGAACCCTAGACCTTATCTCTAAACCCTAAACCCTAAACCCTAAACCCTAAACCCTAAACCCTAAACCCTAAACCCTCAAAGTAAAACGTAGAGTCTCTACTTTCAGAGTGTGGCCCCCCTCCTTCCTACCCTAAAGCCCAACCCTCCTAAACCCTAATCCCTAAACACCGCAGGGTTTTGGGTTTGAGGTTTAGGGTTTGGGGTTTAGGGTTGGGAGTTTAGGGTTTGGGGTTTAGGGTTGAGGGTTTAGGGTTTGGGGTTTGGGGTTTGGGGTTTAGGGTTTAGGGTTTAGGGGTTAGTGCAGTCTTGAACTCAGCCTCCGGCAAGCTGAGCAGGCAGCAAGGAAGCGACGGGCCAGGAAGCAAGAGGAGGGCGAGGCCTGCGGCCCTTCCCTTCCAGCTTCGTTCTGGGTTTTGGGTATACAGGGTGGGGCCCCCTTACTATACTAACTGTAGTTAAGGGACTTATAACCTAACTTAGGGTCCTTATAACCCAATTTAGGGCCCTTATAACTCTACTTATAACTAGGGGGCCCCACCCTGTAGGGTTCTGGGGTTCTAGGGTTTAAGGCTTAGGGCTTTAAGGGTTTAGGGCTTTTCTAATGGTTGGCCGCGCAGGCTTCTTAGCTTTCGCGCGCGACGTGCTGCGGTCGCGTTTCTACAACCAAAATTTTCTTTTTCGTTCGAACATGTATTCACAAAATTTAGAACCGTTAGAGCTTTAGGGTTCAGGGCTTAGAGTTCTAGGGTTTCAGGTTTCAGGGTTTAGGCTCGATTTTCTTGGGTTTCGATGTTCAGCTATGTCGGCTCAATACGGCAGGGCATAGACTTCGCGATTCAAGATTAGGGTTTAGGGTTTAGGGTTTAGAGTTTAGGGTTTAGGGTTTAGGGTTTAGGGTTTAGGGTTTAGGGTTTAGGGTTTAGGGTTTAGGGTTTAGGGGCGAGATTGGCCTTGGGCCTCAAAGGTCGAACATGTGGGGGGTGACCTGCAGGGCAAGTCGGAGGGAGGGGGGCCTTGCATGAGATTCTCTTAGGGTTTAGGGCCCTTTACAGGGTCAGGGTCTACGTGGAGGTTCTGGGTACTTATAAACCCCAATTCATAGCTGTACTTGTGAGCCCCCTAAGTCCCCTAAGGAGGTAAAAAGTAGAATAATAGATGTGGCTATAAGTACCCATGAACCTCCAAGTAGGGTCCAGGGTTGATGCGTTTTCTGTTGTCGCTGTGACTCCAGGGTGAGGACTCCACCCACCGACCCTCATCGGCCTTCTCCTGGCTAAAGCCGAAGCCCTACTTGGAGGTTCATGGGTACTTATAACGGCAATGATAAATCTGCTCGTGACTTAGGGGGCTTATCAGTGCAGTTATCATTGGGGTGATAAGTGCCCGGAACCTCCAAGTAGAGCCTTGTGCCCTCGACACCCCAAATCTCCTCCTCTTTCTCTTGTGGCTGATAACAGGGGTCGGACTAGGTACTAGTAGTTTTTCCTTATGATCCCTATCCTATTTATACTCGAATCCTCTTCTAATTCTTTCAGCCCCTACTTGGAGGTTCAGGGAACTTATCACCTCAACAAGCCTGTACTTATAAGCCCCCAAAGTCCCCGAAGTAGGTTTAACCCTAAACCCTAAACCCTAAACCCTAAACCCTAAACCCTAAACCCTAAACCCTAAACCCATGAACCTCCAAGTAGATCGGGTTTGCGTATCCGCCCTCTCCAAGAAGAGGGCACCACCTTCTTTTCTTTCTCCTCTCGGAGCCGGTTTGGGGTTTAGGGTTTAGGGTTTAGGGTTTAGGGTTTAGGGTTTAGGGTTTAGGGTTTGGGGTTTAGGGTTCAGGGTTTAGGGTTCAGGGCTGCGCCGAAGGACGTTGACGGAGTGGAGCTCGCCGTCGTCACCGATGGCGACCGGGAGGCGCGCTTGGGGTGTTGCTGAGATCTGGTTTAGGGGCATCCACGAAGGTATACTTTACAGATGTAGGAGTTTCAGGGTCTAGGGATGATGGCGGTTGAGGTTTCGTGCGTAATGTGTTTCGGTGTTGTCATTGTCCTCTTGCAAACTCCATTGCCCGGCGTTGCCAGAAAGGAATTACGCCGCAACGCTCTGAACGTGAGAGTGAAGGCGCGAAACGCCTATATTGGTTGAGGATGAACGTGAGTATCTGTTGGAGGATGAAGGGCCAGGAACAGTAAGCCCTTAACTGCCTAAATTCAGGGAAGTGCTAAGGCGCTTCATGTAAAGCCTCAAGCCCTGAGCCCTCAACCCCCACTGTAAATCGCATGACGCCCCCAGAGCCCTGAAGCCCTGCAGCGTAGCCCTCTCGACCCTAAACCCTAAACGCTGAGCGCGAAGTTCTATCCTCGAACCCTTTAAACCCTCAATGCGACCACAAGAACCCCGAACCCAAAACCAGGAACCCTGCACCCCAAACCCGAAAGCCTAACCCTAAACCGTAAGCCCTAAACCCTAAAGCCTACACTGAGTCTGCTTCTAAGAACTCGTCGTCCAAAAGCAAGGTCCTTCCCGAGGATCTGGATGCCAAGCAACTGAGGAAGGCCCGTTTGGGGGTTTAGGGTTTAGGGTTTAGGGTTTAGGGTTTAGGGTTTAGGGTTTAGGGTTTAGGGTTTAGGGTTTGGGGTTTAGGGTTGCCCCTTCGGAGCGTTCATTTCTACAAGCTGGTGTCTTGGGTTGTAGGGGCCTCTGGGTCAGGTTTGGAGCTTCTTATCCGGCTTCATGGATTCCTTGTGTTCATGTAGGGTTTGGAGTTTAGGCCCGAGGGCGCGAATGAAGGTGGTGTAGGTTTGTAAGTTTAGGGTTCAGGGTTTAGGGTTAATAAGAGTTCAGGGCTTAGGGTTTAGGGTTTAGGTTTAGAGTTCAGGGTTCAGGGTTTAGGGTTTAGGGTTGTAGGGTTTAGGGCTTCGGGCAGGATTCAGAAGTCTTGTCGATTCATCTGGTCTTGTGGTCGTCTCGGTGCTGTGTGTTGGAAAGGTCTTCTGTGTGGTTGCCTGAAGCTCAACACTCCTGTCTTGGGAGCGTTGAGTCAGGGGTCAGGGTCTAGGCATAATTGGGGCTTAGAGGCTTGTAGGGTGGTGTTTATTGGGTTGATTGGGCTTTGGCGTTTGGAAACCCTAAACTCCAAAACAACCTACAGTCCTTAAATCCTAAACCCTAAACCCTAAACCCTAAACCCTAAACCCTAAGTTTGATGAAGGCCCGCACCCGGGTGGCCGTGCTCCACGTCGGTGGCGCAACCTTGAGCTCGGCTCTGTCCACCTCTCGAAGTTTAGGGTTTAGGGTTTAGGGTTTGGGGTTTAGCGTTCCGGGTTCGGGTTTAGGGTTAAGGGTTTAGGGTATAGGGTTCAGGGTTTAGGGTTTGGGAATTAGGGTTCAGGGCTTAGGGTCGAGAGTCTAGGGTTTAGGGTTTAGAGCTTTGGGTGGTTTTTTTTTATGGCCAGGGCATTTAAGAGTTGAGGGTTTAAGGTTGAGGATTTGGAGTTTGTGCCTGGGGCCGGGTGCTGGTAGGCACTGTAGGCTTTCGAGCTGGCGTGCAGCATGCCGAAGTCATCATGCAGCGGCAGGATGAGCTTGGGTAGTGGCAGCGAGGGCTCAGATGTCTGGGGCTGCCCCAACTTCCGCGGTTGTACGTTCTGCCCCTAAACCCTAAACCCTAAACCCTAAACCCCAAACCCTAAACCCTAAACCCTAAACGACGAGAGTTGCATCGATTGAAATCGTCAATTCGCGATGGAAATTCGGGCCTGACCAGCTTCTTCCGCGAAGGCATGAAGACCAGGATGGACCCTTTTAAGCCCAATAAACCCCAGGCCCATATGCCCTGCAAGCCCTATACACCCCATGAACCCTTTAGACTCTCTAAACCCTAGACCCCAAACCCCATGAACCCTTTAGACTCTCTAAACCCTAGACCCCAAATCCTTCAAACTCCATAATCCCCCGCCCCCCCACACCCCCACCTTCACCCGCCCCCAAACAAAAAGAAGCAACTCAAAAACACCCTTAACCAATCCTGATCCCTAACCCCCCCCCCCCCCCCCCCCCCCCACACTCTCTACACAACCCATATGTCCCCTAAACCAAACCAAAGACCTAAACGATCCCTAAACCTAGCCCTAAACCCTAGACACTAAACCCTGAACCCTAAACCCTAAACCCTAAACCCTAAACCCTAAACTTTTGCCCTATACCCTAAATAAACCCTAAACCCTAAACCCTAAACCCTAAACCCTAAACCCTAAACCCTAAACCCTAAACCCTAAACCCTAAACCCTAAACCCTAAACCCTACACTTCCCCCAGCAAGCGGGACCAGACTGAGGTCGACTGCAGGAAGCAGCGCCTTCCTCCTGCTCTGCACGCTGACCATCTTTGTGAAGGCAGGTTTGGGGTTTAGGGTTTAGGGTTTAGGGTTTAGGGTTTAGGGTTTAGGGTTTAGGGTTTAGGATTTAGGGTTTAGGGCTAGGTTTGTTTTAGGGTTTGGGGTTTCGGATTTCGGGTTTTGGGAGCTGCAGGGCTGACAAGGTGTTCCTGTTTGCTTTGGGTCTTTAGGTGTTTTTTGTGTTGATTTAGGGCTTTTCAAGCTTTTTAAGGTTTTTTTTCGGGTTTTCAGCGCCCGAGGGCTGTGATAGGGCTTGAGTGTTTTTTGCAGGGTTTTAGGTTGGACGTTTTTGGGTTTTTGTTGGGGCCTCAGGAAGAACCCGAGTAATTACTGTTCTTGTGTTTGTCTATATATATATATAACAGGGCTTATTTTACCTTTCTATCGAAGGGTAATTTCATGTTCCCTTAATATGATCCCTTGCCCTCGTTTAAGGGTTCTGATGGATCGGCCGGGGGGTTGTGTCGGGTTTATAAGGGGCTTAACAGGGGTCCCCTTTGAAGGGACCATATGAAGGGATCATGTATCTGTAACTGCCCCTAAACCCTAAACCCTAAACCCTAAACTGCCCCGAGATTGTTAGGGCTGTTGTCTTGGTTTGGTTGGTCAAGGGTTTTTCGTGTTTTTAAGGGTCTGGTCAGGATCCTGTAAGTAGCCAACCCCCCAAGAAAGTGTACGCTTTTTATCATATGGTAGCTGGGCTACCAAAGTCTACAGTTTTTAGGGTGTCAGGGTTTCGTGCTGCAGGCTTGCGCATCGGGTTTCAGGGTTTGCGATGGTAGAAATTCATAGAGGCTGAGAAGCAGACGCTGGAGGGGTTTAGGGTTTAGGGTTCAGGGTTCAGGGTTCAGGGTTTAGGCTGCAGGTGATGGCCCCTAAGTCGTGTATCCGGACACAAGCACAGCTTGGCAATATGGCCTTTGAGAACGTATAGAGCACCCAGCAGTGTTACTCGACGACGCTGAGAGACGGCGGTACCGCTATCCAGCCCTTCCTGACCCCTAAACCCTAATCCCTAAACCCTAAACGCTAAACCTTTCGCTTCTCACAAAGGTTCATGGTATGATCCTACTTTGGAGAACTACCCAGATATCTCCACTTGCAACCTGAGGCGCCGTAAACCCTATACTCCTAAACCCCCCAAACCCATATCCCTAAACCCCTAACCCCTAATCACTAAACCCCTACAAACCCCCAAACCCCTAAACCCCGCAACCCCCCCCCCCCCCCAAACAAACCTCTCAACCCTCAACCAACCCTATAGACACGAGGCCCCTAAAACCTGTGCTCCAGTTGGGCGCGGTGGTCGTCGCTGTGACTGTGCTATCCATTTTGGGTGCCATCGTCACACTCCCGGCTGCCTTGATACTGGTCCGCCCATCCCCTAACGGGGTGGGGAGGATATGGGGTTTAGGGTTTAGGGTTTAGGGTTTAGGGTTTAGGGTGTTTAGAATATGGGGTTTCAGGGTCACCTGAACCCCGAAACCCTAAACCCTTAGATTGGGTGTAGGGTAAAGATTTCTGATAAAGACCGTCGAAAACGCTGGATACTAACCTCTGAGCGTCACGACCCTCATCCTCGTACCCTGAACCCTGAACCTGATCTTGCTGGTTCTTGCTTGGGACTGCTTGGAGGTTCAGGGTACTTATAACCCCAAATATAACTGTACTTATAACCCCCCCCCCAAGTCCCCTAAGTAGGTTATATACTTGTAAGTAGATATATAATTGCGGTTAGAACTACCAATGAACCTCCAAGTGGAGAATCAGATACCCTATAGAATCTCGGGCTACTCTAGGGCAAATATACCTTCTTCCCCAACTCCCTATGAAGAACTAGTGAGTTGGAAGCCGGCAAGCCTAAACCTTAGAATGCCAAACCCTAAAAGCCCAAGCCCTAAAACTTTGAAACCCGAAAGGCCCCGAAGAATACACATATTTTTGTTAAGGTTCTACGGGGAGTATAGGTTTAGGGGTTAGGGGAATCTGGGAGGGACACGCCCCAAGACGAAAGTTGAAAGTTGTAAGGGCTTCCCCCCAAACGGGGTTTAAGGATAATATCCCAGGTTATGAGTCCCTTATCTCTATTACTGTAATAGGAACCTAGTAGTTATGAGTCCCTTATCTCTGTTGCTGTAAGACTGATTGATGTCTTCAGAGACTTGTCCAGTGTTTGGGTTTTGGGTTAAACCCTAAACCCTAAACCCTAAACCCTGAACCCGAAACCCTAAACCCTAAGCCCTAAACCGCAATTTCTTATATCCCTGATTTCTGGAGGGGTTAGAGATTGTTTTGAGCGCGCGGCCCTGTACAGCACGAGGTCCAGACCCTCAAGGCTCCGAAGATACCCAACGACACTCCTCAGGGTGGCCCGTACTGGTGGGTCTAGGGTTTAGGGTTTATATAGGGTTTAGGGTTTAGGGTTTAGGGTTTAGGGTGGAGGGGCCTACCGGAACGCTCAGCGTACGCTTGAATATCGTGGCCTCCTAAGCCCCCAAAATGGGAGATGCTTCGTGTATCTGGGTGGGGTTATCGTTTGG